TTATGTACATACACGTAGTGTTGTGTATTGAAAAGTATTATTTGCATGAGGCCAATCCTGGTTCCATCCCCCGTGCTACATATGGACCCCCAAGCACCTCAAGGAGAGACCCTAGAGCACAGAGTCAGTAGTAAAGTTTCAGCTAGGTAGTTTTTTTTTTTTAATTTGTATTAGTGGGGCTGGAGCAGTAGCATTTTCCTTGCATGTGGCCAACCCAGGTTCAATTCCCAGCATCTCATAAGGTCCCCTGAGCACTGCCAGGAGTAATTCCTGAGTGCAGAGCCAGGAGTAACCCCTGTGCATTGCCCGGTGTGACCCAAAAAGCAAAAAAAAATTGTATTAGTATTTAGATACCAGGAGCATTTACATAGTGAGAGATATATATATATATATATTTGTAGATGTAATATATTAAAGAGTAGGCTATTTTAATAGCATTATATAATAAACATTGAATATACTATAATATACCTATATGTCATGTCACATTTTTTGTTCAGTTACTTATCTGAGATGTTCCCTTCTGGACCTCCAAGGAGGCTTTGATGGGAACCAGTTTCTGATTTCGGCACAGCATGACTGATCTGCACGGATAGCGGGTGCTCTCTCCCACTGTGGACTGGGGGACATTTGACATTTGCAGAGCACAGGCTTTGATAATTTTTCACACTTCCCAGGGCTGGAGTCGTAGCCCAATGGGTAGGGTGCTCAAGCAGGGTTCGGTCCCCAGGGAACTGATAGGAGTCCCGCCAGGAGTGATCCCTGATTGCGGAGCCAGGAGTTAACCCTGAGCACCAACAGGTGTGGCCCATAAACAAGCAAACAAAAACACCACCAAATCCCTCCCCAGTTTTCACATGTTCCTGGAGTCCAAGGCATCTGCTGGTCTCATGCCCTGGGTTCCTGAGACCTGAGCTAAGGATACTGATGGGGTGCACCCCATCAGTGCTGTCCTGGTCTCTGAGTGACACCCTCATTAAATCATGGGCTCCTCAAGCATCCTGGTGTGAGGCTCAGAGGAAAATAAGCCTGTTCTCAGAAGAAAAATGTAAGCATAGCCTCTCTTTTCAGTGTTGGGACTCAATTTTGCTCATAAAAGTTGTATATAACAAGACTTATAAGCAATTTTTCTTGGTGGCATTTTGCTTTGAATTTGAAATATGCTTTTGATGCTTTTTTTTTTATTTAATAAAGTGCAGGCCACAGGCCCATATTCATTATTTAAACTAGAAGATACTTTGCACGGGATGTAACAGAAGAAAAAAAAAATCCAGGCCTGTTTTGTTGGGGTAATTGCACAGAGTGAAATGGAAACGATTTATTAAAGACTGATTGAAGGAATATAAACCTTGCAAAGTGAGCTTACTAAATCATTCATTCAGGAACTCATTGACATTTGGCCAGCTCTGGAGACTGCTCTTTGCTAGGTTTTAAAGCGAAGCACAGCAACAATTATTTCAAAGCGATGGGGGAAACCATGTTGAGTGTGAGTGGTTCTAGGGGGCGGCTATATTTGAAGTGATTAACAAACCATTCTTCTCAGACCAGAATGGAGGCTTGCAGAACCAGCTCTTATTTTTCCATCTGGCAGCCACAGATTTAAAGGTATATAAATATCACAGGTAAATAAATAATATCACAGGTACTTTCAGGAGAGGGTTGGAGCTATAGCACAGCGGTAGGGCGTTCGCCTTACAAGCAGCCAACATGGCCGACCCGAGTTCGATTCCTCCGCCCCTCTCGGAGAGCCCGGCAAGCTACCGAGAGTATTGAATATGCCAGACACAGTAACAACAAAGTCTCCAATGGAGACGTTACTGGGCCCGCTCGAGCAAATCAACGATCAACGGGAGGGCCTTTGCTTTACTTTTACTTTCAGGAGAACAATTCTCTCATTATATATTTACTTTTGTTTCTTAGGGCACAGTCAGCTGCGTTCAGGGTTTACTTCTGGTTCTGTGTTCAGGGATCAGGGATCACTTCTGGTGGGGTTCAGGGAGTGGCAGGGGACGGTGGGGGAGGGGAAGCAGGGGCTTATGCAGTGTGGAAATTGAACCTAAGTTGGCCAAGTGTAAGGCAAGCACCTTAACCCCTGTACTATCTGTCTCCTCTCCTCTCTCTCTCTCTCTCTCTCTCTCTTCCTCTCTCTGGAGAGAGCACATCTAGAAGTGCTCAGGGCTTAGTCCTTGTTCTATGCTTATGCCCAGGGATGACTGCTGGCAGGGCTCGGGGGACCATCTGGGCTGCTGGGGACTGAGCCTGGGCTAGCCTCGTGCCAGGTAAGCTCCTTTACCCATTGTCCTATAGCTCTGGTCCTTTCTCTCTCATTTTAAAAACCATATTTCTATTTTTCTCTTAAGGTTAAAATTTTTGCTATGTACTGAATGCACACAGATTGGGGTTGGAGCAATAGCACAGCGGGTAGAACGTTTGCCTTGCATGCGCCTAACCCGGGTTTGATTCCCAGCATCCCATATGGTCCCCTGAGCACCGCCAGGGGTAATTCCTGAGTGCAGAGTCAGGAGTAACCCCTATGCATCACCATGTGTGACCCCAAAAAAGCAAAAAAATAAATGAATAAATAAAAATAAGTGCACACAGATTTCAAGGTGAGGTCTGGGAATTGGATGCTTTTGAAAATATTTGTTTCTCCTTAACATTCCCAATTAACATTATCAATCCCTCCAATGCTAAATATCTAATGTGAAGAAATTTAAAACCTAAATCTTTTCCTCTGCTTCGCTCTCTAAAAAGTCTCAAATTTATGAAGAAATAATTGCACCATTTTCATCAGTTCATTGTGCTCTAGACTTAATAATAGAAACATTTCAGGCAATCAAAGAGCACGTAGGAAAAAAAGCATCTTTAATTGATCCCACAGAGATTTTTTTTTCCTAGATAGCAAATAAACTCTTCTCAGGTTTTTCTAGTTGGCTGTTGCAGGAGATTCACAAATGAAATCTAGGGCAGAGACAAATGAAATGCTAACAAGTAGGATGCAATGAAAACAGCCCTCCCTAGCCTGGATGGAACAAAGGCAGTTGACCTCATCAAGGGAAACAAAGCAGAAGGGAAAGGGATTTGCACCCTGGAATCAGGGCTTCCTCTGCCCCAGAGCCAGCAGGCAAAACCTCCTGCAGTTGCAGGGGCACTGACAGGGCTTTAAAATAGGAATGTTCATTAGCAACTTCTCTGGAATGAGCGCAGGGGCGCCCGGGGCAGAGGCCCTGCTGGCTTTAGGCTCCTCACTGCGGCTTCTCCCAGGCCCATGCACCAGTCAGCGCACCTTCCCTTGAGCCCGCACGGTGCATCAGCAGCCAGGGTGCCACCTGCCACCAGCAAGTGTGATCAGTGGATTCCCGCTCAGCAGTGGTAGACTGAGAATGCAGGCTGGGGTGTGCCGACCCTGCTGAGCTGAGCCGCTTTCACCTCTGTGCTCTGTGAGCCTGCCATGCTGTGCTAGGAGGGCTGCCTAGGGTGTGTTTTGGTCTTCGGTGCCTGCTGCTAGGGTTGTAGGCTACACCAGGCCACCAGGATGATTAGCCCAGTAGTGCCGGTGATGGGAATGGCCGAGAGGTGAAACTCGGGCTTTGCCACATGCATGACGTGTGCTCGGTTGCTTGAGCTCTCTCCCCTGGCCACTGGGGACTTCTTTACATCTACAGTTTTACTCCATAGCTAGAGTCTGGGGCTGGAAAAAAAATTAAAAAGCAGTTTGAGGAGCGTAGAGAAAGATCACAGGGGTCAGGAGACAGTGTGGCAGTTAGGGCACACGCCAAGCAGGCAGCTGACCCAGGTCCTAGCCCCAGCATCACACTGTGGCGTCAGCACTGCTGGGGTGCCAACCCAGCTGGCTGAGACTCTCTGGTGCTCCCCGCCCCTCGCCTCCCAGACTTCTGAGCACCTGCGGAGGCTCAGCTCTCCCCTCAAAGAAAGTGACACTGACTCCTTGAATGGCAGAACATTTAAGAAATCGCCCATTTACTTTGTCCTTCAAAACTGGGAAGGTTTAGGACAGCTACAAAGATTTTAAGCATCTTAAGAAATATTACGGGGCTGGAGCCATGGTACAGTGGATAGGGTGTTTGCCTTGCATGTGGCCAACCTGGCTTTGATTTCAAGCATCACCTATGGTCCCCTGAGCACCACCAGACCACCAGGAGTAATTCCTGAGTGCTGAGCCAGGAGTAACCCCTGTGCATCACCAGGTGTGGCCCCAAAAAGCAAAAAAGAAAAAAAAGAAAAAATATTATACGCTTATATATTATAAGACAGATATTTAGAATATCTGTCTCTGCTGGCTTGATCATGTTTCTACTTACTGAGTAGGGGTTCATCAAGCGCCTGCTTTAAGAATTAATGGCTACACAGAGACACTTAGATTTCTCCCTTACCATACCAAGAAAAACCTCTAGGTAGTGTGATCTTTTGTTTTTGTTTGTTTGGTGGCCATACCTCATGATGCTCAGGGCTTACTCCTGGCTCTGTGCTCAGGGATCACTCAGGCAGGACTCAGGGGTGCCATATGAGGTGCCAGAGATCAAACCTGGGTTAACAGCGGGCAAGCAAACATCCTACCTGCTGTACTTATATCTGGCCCCAGTAGTGTTATCTTCTGCCCATGACAACAATGTAAGAACACTTAAGTTCAAGCTAAGAATGATGTGATGATATCATTCCTATTGAAGAATGGGAACACTGAAGGTGGACATTTAAAGTCCATTAGAAAAAAAAAGTCCAGGTCTTCTCATGAACTTGTAAAATTGGCAGGCTTGACCAGCAAAATGGAAAAGAATGAGAGACTTTTCAGATGACAGGAAACTATCGCCAAGGGGTGCAAGTTTAAATTAACACAAAAAAGGGCACAATCCCGTGTAAAAATAACATGGTGGTCGGACAGATGGTCCCTACAGACGGTCCCTTTACAGCTGGCTCCTCAGGGCGGTGCAGAGGGGCGCAGAGCAAGTCGGAGGACGCGGGACAGGCCTGCCCAGCACGGCTCAGAGCGGTGGGGCTTCGCCCGGGTCGGGGCTGGGCTTCGGGGCGGCCGTGTGGATGTGGGAGAACTGCAGCACCGGCAGCAGCAGCTGGAAGGCATCCTGGATGTAGGTCGTGCTGTTGCAGCCCTGCGCAGGGGAAAAGGGCGGGTTAGTGCCTAGCTCCGTTGTCAGCATCCTGCAATTTCCGTTTCGTCTCCACCCCTACAGCACTCTCGTCTAATGGGTATGGAGAGCAACACCCTTCCTGAGGCTACAGTGTCCAGTTCTCTTTCTCTGCTCACAGGGGGAGGAAGTCATTTCCTTAGTGTTAGGGTGCACCTGTATGGGGTGTGTGTGTGTGTGTGTGTGTGTGTGTGTGTGTGTGTGTGTGTATGCGCGCACGCGCATGCATTCTTACCACCCACCCATCTGTCCTGTCTTACCTCTTCCCAGGGCAGCCCCACTGCCCTGAAATAACACAAAAGCACAGTCCAGAGGCCCAGGCTTGCTCTTACCCACAGCACAATAAGCAAAAGGGTGCACCCCCAGCTAAATAGGGATCCTTAAAAAAAATAGAATCACCCTAAGATATTCAGTCACAAAGTTGTTCATGCTTGGATTTCAGTCATAGAATGTTCCATCACCCATCCCTTCACCAGTGCACATTTCCCACCACCAATGTCCCCAGTTTCCCTCTAGCCACCCTACCGCCCCCTCCCCCCCAGCCTGCCTCTATGGCAGCTGTCCCCCCCACCTCCTTGGCATAATGATTTGCAGTACAGGTACTGAATGGTTATCATGTAATAGAGTGATTAGCATGTAGCACTGCACTGTAGCACTGTCCTGTTGTTCATCGATTTGCTCGAGCGGGCACCAGTAACGTCTCCATTGTGAGACTTGTTGTGACTGTGTTTGGCATATCGCTACAGGGAGCTTGCCAGGCTCTGGCGTGTGGGAGGGATACTCTCAATAGCTTGCCGGGCTCTCCAAGAGGGATGGAGGAATCAAACCTGGATCGGCCGCGTGCAAGGTAAACTCCCTACCTGCTATGCAATGGCTCCAGATTAGCATGTAATAGAGATAATTCTAGGCAATTATTCCTCGAACTTGGTCATTCTTCCATACATGTGGACTCTTTACATTTGGGTTGGATGTTGTGATTTCCATTCTGTGGGGTACACTATTAGCACCAGAGGGGTGATTTAAAAGTTAGGGTGACCAAAACATGAGAAAACGTCCATTGGGAGAATGAATAAGCATGCAATCTTGTAATCTTTATAGATATTGCCTGTCAAGGGTAGAAAAGAGATTTTCTTCAGGGTGGAGAGCTAGTACAGTGGGTTAAGGTGCTTGTCTTTTTTTTTTTCTTTTTGGGTCACACCTGGCGATGCACAGGGGTTACTCCTGGCTCTGTACTCAGGAATTACCCCTGGCGGTGCTCAGGGGACCATATGGGATGCTGGGAATCGAACCCGGGTTGGCTGCATGAAAGGTAAGCGCCCTACCCGCTGTGCTATTGCTCTAGCCCCTAAGGTGCTTGTCTTGCATGAAGTTAACCCAGGCTCGATTTCTTGTACTGCACACAGTGTTTGTGTGCCCTGCTAGCAGTGATCCCTAAGCACAGAGCCAGGAGTATGCCCTGAGCACCTCCGGATGCAGCCCCCAAATAAAACAAACCAAAAAAGATGTTCTTTTTTCTTTTGGGGCCCCTCTCATTAGTGCTCAGGGGCCAGGCCTGGCTTTGTGCAAGGGGTTCACTCCAGATGGTGCACAGGGAGCCTTGCAGAGCTGAGCCCACTGCAGGCAAAGGCTGCACTTAGCCCGTTGCCCTCTATCCTGGGTTCAGAGGAGTTGTTCAAATCCCACCTCTGGCAGAAGCTGTCCCTACATCTGCTGGCCCCTTCCCCTTGCTCTGTCCCACAGTGTGGCTGTTCCCTAAAGAACATGGTAGTTGCCACTGTTTACTACTTTGGTAGTTTTTCTTTACAGTCATTCCTAAAAAACACTGCCTGAAAGATGCAGACACTCTCCCTGCTTGGAAGTTTGGTGAGTTCCACACTTACAGTCCAGACAGCAAAACAGGAGCGAACCTGCAGTATCTGTGTTCTATCTCATTTCTCACCACCTTGGCTGGGTTCCCCATGGCCACAGAGCCCCCCATCAGCTGGAGTCTGGTCTCTCAGAGAGCTTTACTTCACCGGTGTGTGTGTGTGTGTGTGTGTGTGTGTGTGTGTGTGTGTGTGTGTGTGTCTCAGCCATGCTGAATCTCATCCGCAATAATTTCTTTTTCCGGGCCTCTGTTCTCTTATGTCTTGCTCTGGCCAGGCAGCAGGTTCTGGGCCAGGAGATCATGTCCCGGCGAGTGGAACCCCAGACACCAGAGAAGAGCAGATACTGGACATTTTCCTGGTCACTTCTGTCCATTGGGAGCAGAGAGCCCAGTGAAACCAGAGGTTGCCCTGAATAGAGGTGTGCCCACTTTCATAAAATCCCCATTGGGCACAAATTCCATGGCAGCAGTAATCACACTGTTAAATCCGTTGTCACACTTGGCAGCAGAAATCAGCTTCTGCCTGAGGAAACAGTGACAGCAATAACATGCAAACATGCAAACTTAGCGTTTCTCTTTAGAATCAGAAATTCTTGAAAACGAGGTATTTTTGCTTCACTCCTAGGTTTAGAGCTGGTGGAGATACACAAATGAATTCAAAAAGGGAAAAAAATTATTGTAGATGAGATTCAGCATGGCTGAGACACACACACACACACACACATATTATCACTCTCATTTGCTTAATTCAAAAGCATTTCTCTGGAGGGCAACTTACCTCTACATACACACTATTGATCATCGGGTTAAGGACCTCGGCCTTCTTGTCGCTCTGTGGAATCAAAGGATGAAACCAACAGATTAGGTGCTTAGACATTAAGGCTTGTCACATGAAACTGAAGCCTCTGGTTTAGAGGGAGAGGGTGTGTGCCGGAGCCAGTGTGTTAAGTTAACATGATGCCCTTATCACCAAAGTAAGTTAGGGGGTGAAGGCGCACAGGAGTCAACCAGCAGCATCTCCCTCAGCACCCAAGTCCCCATTTGGGGAAGTGGAAAAACGGGAAGCAGCTTTGATGGAAGGCACAGCCCCCCCCCCCCCCCCGACTCCGACAGAAAGGAATAGCGAGGGGACCCAGACCCAGGGCCCAAGAGCAAGCAGGAGAGGGTGCAGGGAAGCAAGTCCCTGGTCTAGCTTCTAAGGTCGTTAAGGTAAAAGTTGTTAACTTCTTGGCTGCTCAATTCCTTGAGGTTATATTATTAATTTTAATTTTTTCAACCCACAGCTCCCAAACATGTCAAGCATGTGCTCTTCCACTCAACAAGTGCTTTTTCAAAGGTACCCAGGAAAAGCACAGAGGGTGCTTGTGGTGGAAATTCTAACTTAGGTTATTTCTAAACGTCTAGACTCCATGTGAGTGGGGCAGTTTATACCCAGGGGGAGACTCAACCAAGCTGCTTCCTCATCCTAGCAGCGTGCTCCTAGGAAACTCAGTTCATTTGGACAGAAATTCTAAGAGTAGGTAACGGTGATACACCACTTTAAAGACCAGATAATAGAGATTAGGAAGGGTGAGGTATGTGTTTAAGATCACAGAGCAAGACATTCTTCTTCAGACCATGTTTTTTTAAAAACAGTTTGAAGCTTGTAGAATAAGACTTGAGCTTTATAATGTCACACAAAAAAACTTAATTCGAAATGGATTATGAACCTGAATAAAAGAAATGAAACCATAAAACTCATAGAAGAAACAGGCAGAAATTTCTCTGATGCTGACCTTAGTAATAACTTTTGGACTGATCACAAGTACAAGAGAAACAAAAGTAAAAGTAAGCAAATGACACTATGTCAAACAAAAAGTTTCTGCCCAGTGGAAAAATTATTGCCCAAAGGAAAATACATCCTGCTGTACTGGAGAAGCTATTTGCAATCATATATGGAACATGGTATTAATCTTTAACAGATATAAAGAAACAGCAATAAGAAACAAACATAAAATGGGCAAAAGACAGTTTACCCCAGAAGAAAAAAATACAGATGGCCAACAAACATATAGAAAGACGGGCCATCACCACGTATCATCTGGGAAATGGCAATTAATTCCACAGTGAGGTGTGATCGCAGACCTAAAAGAATGGGTATTATCTCAAAAGACAGGCAACAAGTCCTGGAAGAGACGGGAGAAAATGGAACCATTTACAGGAGGTAGATATCAACTGGGACACCCACTATGGAAAAGAGTGTGGGAACTTCTAAAAATAAAGAAGAAATGAAATATCCGATGATCCAGTGATTCCACTCTGCGCATCTATCCTACTAGAAAAACACAAATTTGAAAATAGAAGGCTCTAAACACACCGCTGTGTTCACTGAATCATTACAGTAGCCAAGAGACAGAACATGAAGAGGCCACCAAGGGATAAGCAAAGGGTGAGCGAGTAATGAAGATGCACCCCAGTGTCTCAGAGCAGCACTGGGAGTACTTCCCCCCACCCAACATAAAAAGAATGAAATCTCACCGTTTGTAACAACTTGGATAGACCTAGCAGTGCTCAGGGGGATCATATGTGATGCCAGGAACTGAATTAGGATTGGCCAAATGCAAGGCAAGTGCTTTGACCGCTGTGCTATCTTTCTGTTCCTTTCCTTTTGATTACAAAAAAAAAATACTGAATAAAAAATAAACAGCGGTGGAGGGATCCTGGCATTTCAGAGGTGAGTGAAGCATGGTAGCACATCAGTATGTGAAAAGAGGGAGATGGAGCATCTTGGGAACTTTTTGGTGGTAGAGATGCAGTCACTGTCACTGTCCTCCTGTTGTTCATCGATTTGCTCGAGCGGGCCCAGTAACATTGTGAGACTTGTTACTGTGTTTGGCATATTGAATACATACATCATGGGTAGCTTGCTAGGCTTTGCTGTGCGGGTGAGAAACTCTCGGTAGCTTGCCAGGCTCTCTGAGAGGGGCAGAGGGCAGAGGAATCGGACTCGGGTTGGCCATGTCAGCTGTGTGCAAGGCAAATGCCCTACCCACTGTGCTATCGCTCCAGCAGTAACACATCAAAATTATAAATGTTAACGGATGGTAGCCAATAAAAGTCAAATATTCTAAAAAAAATTGCAGTAAGTTTCTGTGAGAAGATTGTGACCAGAGTTTGTTCTCATACACACACACACACACACACACACACACACACACACACACACACACACAGAGTCTGTTCATGAAGATTCTTCACCTTTAGAATTTAATTAAAATTTCTGCCCTTGGCTTATTAATGAGATTCAAAGGTGGAAGGCACCCTTTTTAAAAGGGAAGACTTCTTACATATTATAACGCAGATGATTGCTGAGGACATTAGGATAAGTGAAATAAGTCACCAAAAATCCAAAACAAAATCAGACCAACAAATATCGCATAATTTCTTCTTTCCACAGTTTGTATTGTATGCAAATGTATTGTGTCAGACAGGAGAAGGATGGCTGCCGGGCTGCTGTGGCTGGCCAGGTGGAGGGAGGGAACACAGAGCTGTGCTTAATGGCTCCGGAGGGCCCATCTGGGAAGATGAAAAAGGCCCAAAGAGTGGTTGCTTAATATGCAAACATACAGAACACTACAGAATTGTACTCTTTAAAATGGCTAAGGGGATAACCTTAAAGTTGTGTGTATTAAAATAAATACAAGGTGAAAAAAATTACACTGCCTAGATCATACTAAAATGACACTAAAACAATCTACCCAGGAGCCAGAGAAATGGCTCAAAGGGTTGCTTTGTACGTGGAGCCCAGGCTAGATCCATGGAACTACTCCTGTGAGTCTCTGGGTGTGGCCCCCAAGCGTATCTAGATGAGAGGTTCTTTGTCTTTTTTTGAGGGCAGTGACTGAAAATCTGCAGATGAATTTGAAGATTCCTTATTTGCTTACTCTTGTTCTGGTTCAAGTCTTTATTTATTTATGCTTTAGAAAGTGAACCTGGGTACTTGATTATAGAGTATAGCTTGCAGATCAACAGCAGAATGAAAACATGCTTCATCACAACTTGTAAACAGATCTGCAGATCCTGGTTTGCAAAACACAAATATAAATATAAATATAAAGCATGGGCTAGAGAGCCTGTTGTAACAGGAATTTGAAAAGCGAGAGCTAGTGCTTTGGGGTGTCATTAGGATTACTTCGACCACTGGTCTGTGAATCAGTAAGTAGTCTTCTCTGCCTATAATGCTTAGTCTTGGGCCAGGGACGTGACTCAAGCAGAACACAGGTTTTGCATATATAAGACTCTGAGTTGATCCCCAACGACTCTCGGGGCCTCTCGCCAATATCCATATCCAAAGCACAGTATACCTAGGAGTGGACCTTCTGGCTCTCTGATGGCTCTGCACCATGGCCAACTGGCCCCACATCAACAAAAATGGCAATAAAAATGTGATGCTGGAGCTACAATACAACATGAAGCTGACCTGAGTTCAATTCCTGGCACCCCATAGAACTCTCTAAGCTCCACCATGAGTGGTACCTGAGTGCAAAGTATTGGGTCTGAAGAGAGGGGTTAAGACATTTCCTTACACATGGCCAAACCTAGTTCCATCCTCAGCACTACATGGTTCTCTGTGCATGGTCCGGCCCAGCTCTGGAGGCTCCCAGCACAGCTCACATGACCTGGGTCCTCCCAGGGGCCTGAGCAGCATCACATCACATCACATCCTTGCACTAAGCTGCTGACCCAGCTGGCCCAGAATCTCTGAGAGGAATTCCCCCCGCCAAATAAATGTTCAATCCACTCGTAGATGGTAAATAATTAAAGGAACTGGAGTGAGGGCAATCTAGTTTCCCTCACTATACCCAGAAGACTTTATGGTAAACACAAGCATAGAAATGAAATACATCTTCACAGACAGTTCCCTTTCTTTGACATAAGTCTACTGAGGTCCAAGTAATGTCTTGCTCTGGGAAACCATAATGGAGTCTTGGGAAAAAGCTCTTTAAAACCCCAGTCATTTTAGTAAGTAACCAGAAAATCCATTATGGTATTTGCTTTCATGTTTATTTGATTATCAATAAACCTCTAAAACATAATCAAAACGAGGGCAATAAAATGACATTGGTTTTCAGAATCAATGAGATGTGCAAGCAATTTAAATAGAGTCTGGAGAGCAATATACATTCATTAACTTCAAGTTATGAATAATGGCTGTTTTGGAGAACAGAAATAATGACTTGATGTAAATGATTTATCATAGCGCAAGATAGGGTTATTGTGCTGGGGAGATGACATTTTAGTAAACTACTTAGAGTGAACCTTCTCTTTAAAAAAAGTCTTGTTGTTTGACTTTGTGAAGGCAGGTCTGTGCAACATAATTCATGTACATATGTATATATATCCATATATATAGATATATATTCTCTGTAATAACTATAATTTAAGGGCATAGACATCTGCTAGAACATACTGCCTATAATGTAGATTGAAGGAGCCAGAGAGATTAGTTAGGTTAGGGTGATTGTTTTGCATGTGGCCAACCCTGACATCTTATATGGTCTCTCAAGCACTGTAGGAGTGACCCTTGAGCACCGAGCCAAGAGTAAGCTCTGAAGTACCATTGGATGTGGCCCAATTCCCCCCAAAGATCCCCAAAGAAATTCGGACTGTAGGGCAGGAGCACATGCTTCCCATGTAGGCATATGGGAATCCAGGTTTAATCCCTGGCTACCCCAGATACTGCTGGGAGTGACCCTCGGCACCAAACTGGATACAGTCCCTGAGCATCCCTGGTGTGATGCCAAAACAAAAAAACAAACATAGACCTCAGATCAGAACAGAGTTATCACTTGGAAACTTGAATCTGAGAAATGCTGACCCAGAATCTGTATTTTCACAAGTTCTCCAGGGGATGGTCTGAGAAAGACCATGCTCAAGTCCAATATTTGAAGAGGAAACAGAAAGCAATACAATGAATATTGTTCATGAATACAAGTTCTTGCTTGCCATGATGACTGAAGCCGTATACCGCTCACACACACAAAGACACCTACACCCATATTGGTAAGGAACCACAGGGATGCAAACACTCAGCTCTCTATCCATGGAGTCTGATGGCAACGGGCCGAGAGCTGAGAGCATGGGGTGAGAAGTTTGCTGCTCCCCAAAGGAACTGTGAGAAGAGGGTACAGGAGAATCTTGGGAAGGCACATGTCTTAGACCATCCTCTGCTTATGACCCTGTTCTTCTGCATGAAGCAGGTCACTACTACAGCCTTGGCATTGTCTGCCTCAGGTAACATCTGACCACATTGGGTAGGAGTGATAGGACTGCAGGTAGGGCATGTGTCTTGCCCACAGCCAGCCCAGGTTCGATCCCCAGCATTCTATATGGTATCTTGAGCAACCTCCAGGAGTAATTTCTGAGTGTGGAGTTAGGAGTAAGGCCTGAGCATCACTTTATGTGACCCCCAAGCAAAACAAAACAAAACAAAACAAAATAAACATCAACCACATAAAGCACCTGGTAATGAACTCTTCCATTCTCATCAGTGACCGCCCACCCCCACCCGCTGCCCATACATACTTTGTCTACACAGTGCTGCTCTCATGCTAAAGGTATAAAAGTTGATCCTTTCTAAAACAGAAACCACATGCAGGCACTCACACAGAATGATATGGGACATGCACCTTTTCCCTCTCCCCTTATTAACCACCTACAGAAGAACAAAACCCTTACATTTCTAGGCAGGTGTAGAAAGGTTTTCTGCTTGCTTCCCCTGGCTACCAGGGTAAGTGTGTAATGTGAATGGTTTGTAAAGGAAGAACCAGAAGCTACTCTTCCAAAAAGAATGTTGAGCCTTTCAAAGCTGAGAATAGACATATGACAACTGGTAATATTTTTCTCTTGGTTAAAGATGAGGTGTGCTTTGCACAGCAAAAGAAACTCATTAAAATGACAAGACATCAGACTGCATGGGATTTATGCACAACATAAATCTGACAAAGAACTAAAATTCAGGGCATATTAGGAACTTGCAAAACTCAACAATTACAACAAAAACAATCCAGAAGATGGTGATTTTGAGCACCATCTTCCAGCTTAATGACTGGTTGTCAATGAAGTTCTTTCTTGGCCCATAAAAACAGAAACAAAACAAAACTTACTGATAAGTTATTATTCAATTAAAAAATTGACAGAATAACTGAAAAGGCACTACTCTAAGGAAGATACACATAAGGCTAGCAGGTCCATGAGAAAAATAATCATCACTTACTGTCAGGAAAATTCAAATCAAAACTACAATGAGCTATCTATCACTTCATATCTGTGAGAATGGCTAGAAACAAAAGTTGCTGGTGAGGGTGTGGAGAGAGGAAACTCTCCACTCTTTTGAGTATAAACTGATTCAGTCCCTATGAAGAGCAGTATGGAGAGTTCCAAGACATTGGAAAGAGATTGACCATTTAACCCAGCACTTCCTCTCCTAGGTGACTTTGGATTGAAAAAGATAAATGCATCATAATGTCAACTGCAAACGTATTAGAGTCAAAATCTGGAACTAACCCAAGTGCCTAATGTCAGGTGATTGTATACAATTGTGAGCATGTGCGATTCACCAGCACGTGTGCACACACACACATACACAGAGTGGAACGAAGTAGAGTGCGTGCGCGCACACATACACACAAACACACACATATACATACACAGAGTGGAACACAGCAGAACAGTACAAGATGAAATGTTTTCCTTTGCTACAGCATGGGTGGAATTGGAGTAGTCATGCTAAGCAAAATAAGTCAGAAGGAGAAAGACAACAAACACCAATGATCCCTCACTCATATGTGAAAAATAACCAGATCAGGGGACAAATGAAAACAAAAAGGCAAAAAGGCCCTCCCATTGATCATCAATTTGCTAGAGCGGGCCCAGTAACGTCTCCATTGGAGACCTTGTTGTTACTGTGTCTGGTATATTGAATACTCTCGGTAGCTTGCCGGGCTCTCCAAGAGGGGTGGAGGAATCGAACTCGGGTCAGCCATGTTGGCCGCTTGCAAGGCAAACACCCTACCCGCTGTGCTATTGCTCCAGCCCAAAAACAAACCAAGAAAAACCCTTGGAGTCTATCTGCAAAACAAATATTACTAGAAACAAATATTACTAGAAATCTGCAAAACAAATATTACTAGAAATGGGCAAATAGAAACATAGGGCGCAGAGGTCTAGGGACTATGGAGCTAGGGTCCTGGACTCAGGTGGAGAAGGGTCCTGGGAGTTAGGTAGGTGGAGGCATGGTATGGTATCAAGCAACTGAAAAGGTGTGGACCTGGGCTCAGAAAACATACACAGTGTTCTATACCAACCAAACCTGGTAAGAAAAACGTTAATAAATAAAAAGAGCTGAAAGAACTTTCAGTAAACTTCAAAAAAAAAAGTAAAAGTTTCTGGTTTTATTAGAGAAAATAAAGTCAAAGTCTAACAATAGAGAAAGAAAACATTTAAAAAAAAAAAAACCTTGTGTGGATTATAAAATATTCTGTGAGGGAAACCGTGAATTCAGATCTTGAAAAGAAATGATTTTAATAGTGATTCATGAATCATGCAACATAGATAAGTAAGTAATGGAAGTATTAGACACCTTTTTTTTAAAAAAGAGGTCTGGAAACACAGCCAACATCTGCCGTCTGAGATGACTAGAATCTGATCAGGGGAGAGACTTAAGCTGCCTGAAGGTGAAAAAAAATGCTCTTGACTTAGATTTCTAGGTGATTAGCTACCAAAGAAGGTGCTGAACTTGCAGCTTTATCTCATAGCCCTTCAGAGACCCATCTCCCCTACAAAGGTGAAACAAGGGGTGGAAAGAAACAGCTCAAGCGGTAGAACACAAAACTTGCAGGCACGAGGTGCTGAATTTCATCCCTGGCACTGCATGGCCTGAGCACTGAACCATCAGGCCCACACAACTGGGCCAACTATCTCTGGGAGCAGCCCTGGGTCCCCAAGCACTACAGACCCAACCCCCCTCCCAACCCCCCTCCCAAAAGGAGTGAGAATAGAAGCATTATAGTATTACCCCAACAGTGGTTAAGCAAGTTGTAAACTTCTTGGATAGGGTAGCAACTTCTTTGCACATTGCAGTAGTTAATCTGAAAGAAGAAAAGAGGTTTGGGGATTTTTAATCAAGTCAAATGAAATAACTGAATGACTCTTATTAACACTCTACTCCATGAGGAAGAAAAGCTTGCAAGTTTGAAGATGCTCTGTCGAAACCTTTTCTTCAGTAATCTTCCGTGATTCATAGGTACCATTTAATCTAATATTAGTTTTCTCTGCCTGTTTAATTAAAGAATAATCATCTAACTTACCCTGCCTCTCTTCTAGAATCAAAAGCATAGGCAGGAAAATACCAGGCTTGAGCATCACATGTGTAGATTCTTGCCAAGTGTTTTTCTCCTTTTATAGCCTCCTGCCTCAATGCCTTGTTGAAGTTTCCTAACAGACAGTCTTATCTGCCACCAACCTCTCTCCCAGTACTTTGGGGGTGCATTATCATATTTAACCCTCATAGTGGCCTTGTGGATTATATTATTATTTCCATCTTATAGATAAAGAAACTGATAAGAAGGTGAAGTAACTAGCTTAGGACACACAGTAGTGATAGTTCTAGATTCAAACTCTTGATCTCTTGATCACCTTTATACATGTCTCAGAGTAAAGGTCCTATGTCACTGTCCTCCCGTTGTTCATCGATTTTCTTGAGTGGGCCCAGTAACATCTCCATTATGAGACTTGGTTGTTACTGTGTTTGGCATATCGAATACATCACAGGGAGCTTGCCAGGCTTTGCCATGTGGGTGAGACACTCTCGGTAGCTTGCCGGGCTTTTTGAAAGGGGCGGAGGAATCGAACCTGGCTCGGCCAGGTGGCTGAGTGTAAGGCAAACACCCTACCACTGTGCTATTGCTCCAGCCCGGTGCTATTATAAGCCTAAACATATTACAAATATTCAGGCCACTGAGAAAAACACAGTTATAATCCTCCCTTGGATGAGAAAACTAAATAAATAAGTTAAATTAGTAGTACCAAGTGTCTACAATGATGAAGTGTCAAAGCAGGTTTAACCTTAGGCAGCAGAATGCCAATGTTGACCTCTGTCCCCTACCGCTGCAGTGTAGGACAGAGTCTAAATTCAGGAAATCACAATGCAAGGAAGAAGATGAATGTGAAACATATGGTAAAGGTATACTTAAAAACATGGAGCAATACGTGACAATGTCACAGTCCTCCCGTTGTTCATCGATTTGCTTGAGCGGGCCAGTAACGTCTCCATCATGAGACTTGTTGTTACTGTGTTTGGCATATTGAATACGTCACGGGTAACTTGCCAGGCTCTGCTGTGTTTGGCATATCGAATACATCACAGGGAGCTTGCCAGGCTTGCCAGATACTCTTGGTAGCTTGCCGGGCTCTCCGAGAGGGGCGAAGGAATCGAACTCAGGTCGACCATGTTGGCTGTGTGCAAGGCAAACGCCCTATCTGCTGTGCTATAATAAACAGTCCCAAGTTTTTTCCAGTTATAAATCCACTTCCAGGTATACCACCCCAAGAAAACAACACAAGATGGACACAGATATTTAACCAATACAATTTTGGTTATAACTAAAACACAAATGATGACCAAATCCGAGAACCATCTAATGAGAGCAGTTACAAACTGAAAGAGTATGTTGGGATCCATGTACCTTTTTCTCTATCTATCTATCTATCGATCTAGCTTGGTTTTAGAACTATACTTGGCAGTGCTCATGTTAGTGAGCTAGCATTCCTAGTTCCATTCTCAGGATACCATATGTGGTGGCAAAAATTGAACCAGAATTAGATGCATGCAAAGCAAGTAACTTAATCTCCCTGACCTAACTGTCCAGACCAGAATCCTTTTTTTTTCTTTTTGGGTCACACCCAGCCGATGCTCAGGGATTACTCCTGGCTCTGCACTCAGGAATCACTCCTGGTGGTGCTTGGGGGACCATATGGGATGCTGGGAATCGAACCTGGGTCAGCCGCGTGCAAGGCAAACACCCTACCCACTGTGCTATTGCTCCAGCCCTCAGAATCCATTTATTTTTAAGGCACTCTTGTATAATAAGAATATATTTGAATCTGTCCTGATTTTCTATGGTTTAACAAATAGGCAGTTACATATAAAAGTTAATTATTTTCTAGCTCTGTACCAACTATTTTCTTGTATAAAAATTTATCTATATACACTTTTAAATTCCAATCAATAACCTATGAATAATAGCTATGATTTATTAAAGGACATGTGACAGTACATATACATATAAAGAAATCCTAGCAAAGGGACTTGCATTCCCTGGGTGGTCACGCAGACCCAACTGGGACATGCAGAGCCAGTATAATTCTCTAGGGTGTGTGTATGTGTGTGTGTGTGTGTGTGTGTGTGTGTGTATGTGTGTATGTGTATGGGGGGTTGGCATATTTTTGTTAAGCTGATTGAGACATTGTATTAAGCAGTTCTTTTCCACTCACGCGGTATGTTGACAATGTAATTACCCTCAGATGTTGTACTTTCTAAGACAGTTCTCTTAAAATAAACACCCATTTAACTCTGAATGATTTAGGGTGGCTTCCCTTAAATCTCTTTATAAATAATTCCTGGAATGTCTAGTTAATTAATAATCTCACTGACAGCAGTTTCTTGAGAGTAATTTCTTAAGATGACCATAGAAGAATGAAATTATTAATTTGAAGGAAATAATTAATTTATAGTGTGTGTATATGTTTGTATGTGCATGTGTACATGTCTTTGCATGTACATGATTCATAAATACGAAATGAAAAAAAAAGTGCCAGAGAGAGGTCAGAGATAGTGCAGTGGGTAGGGTGCTTGCCTTGCATGTGGCTGATCTGGGTTGATCCCTGGCACCCCATATGGTTCCCTGTACCCATGAGGGTGATATCTGAGCGCAGAACCAGGAGACAGTCCTGAGCATAATTGGATGTTGCCCCAAAACAACAGCAACAAATAAAACAGGGCAGAAGAGATGGTACAGTGGGCAGGGCACTTGCTCTGCGCATAGCTGACCTGAGTTTGATCCCTGGCACACGTATGGTGGCTCCCTGACCACATAAGTGATCCCTGAGCACAGAGCAAGGAGTATGCCCTGATCACACTCCCAAAACTTACAAATTTTATTTTTGGAAAAAAATTTAAAAACAAGAATTAGCAGTAACACTTACTTAATGAGAACTTTTGCTTGGTCCTGAGCTGATTTTTCCTCTTCTTGTCCATGGAGAATTAATTCTGCGACTTTATGAAGCTGCTCAATGCAGCGGGCTGTCACCTCTGCCAGGCTCTCGATGGAGAGCCTGCAGACTTCCTGAAAGAAACAAAATAGAAAAACAATTATTCACTGAACAGACAAAAAAATGTTTTAAAGCACTGGATTAAAATATGAAGGACATAAAAAATGTGAAGGACACAAAAAAAATTCCATGTTGTATGTTGCCCAACATGATAGTTTTGAAGGTAAGCATATACTTGTTACATCATTTTCACAAGGTCAAAAATGTATCCATCACCTCCAAAAATTTTAGAAGATGCTTTAAAAAAGTGCTATTTTTTTTAAAAGAAAGTAATTCATTCAAACCCCGAGTCCCCAAAACAAAAAAGAGCAACCCAACTATGACCTAAAAGCTTACCTGAAGGTTAATGGGCATATCTGATGTTTGGGTGAAGGAAATGTGCCTATAAAATGAAGCGCCACAGAGCAATGTCATACGCACAACAGGCAGTGCTCAAGAATGAATGTGGCAGCAAGTGAATTAATAGACCTCAACAGACATCACTTTTTAGAGTGACCTAATTTTAAAAAGTGACTTTCTCTCAAACTGAAATTCAATATAAGATGAACTTATTGCAAACTCATTTTTGAGCAGGATATAAATCATGTACAAGAAAATATATTAAACTACAGGATAAAAACTGTGGCAATAAAAAAATTTTCTTGAAAAAGCTTCAATTACCTCATTAGTTAGGAGGCATAAAGGCATTTTTTTAAAGTGAAACAGATTTTATTTGGAGGATTTTAGGAAGGGAATAAGGGAGAGAAAGTGAGAGAAGAGTAACATGCTCCAGTGAGAATGTGGGTTTCTCCAAAGGCAGAGAGAGTCCCTACACACAATGCAGCATTAGATATGGAAGGACACATCAAAGAGGGGAGATGCAGGTGACACATGTGCTCGGCCACATGGGCACAAGCTACACATGGGCTCAGGCAGCATATGCACCCATAAAGACATTTTATAGTTATAAATTTACATACAAGATGGAACTTTACCCTAAAGATAAATCAACTCTGTTCTTAAAGCTCTTTTCTTTGAAATTTTAATTACAGAGCTATGGAGAAAAGTGACAAAATCTACGTTAAGTCACAAATTGTCTTGGCATAGAAAAATTTTAGTGCATTAATACATTAATACAGATCTCTCTTTTTTCAGGGGCCAGAGTGATAGTACAGCAGGTAGGGCATTTGCCTTGCATGCGGCTGACCTGGGTTCAATTCCTGACATCCCAAGCACCACCAGGAGTGATTCTAGAGTACAGAGCCAGGAGTAACCCCTGAGCATCACTGGGTGTGAGTTCCCCACCCCCCCAAAAAAAGCAAAAAAAAACCAGATTTTTTTAATTATCATTTTGGGGGGGAGGGTATTGGACTCCACCAGAAGGCGTTGTTCAGGTCTTATTCCTGACTTTGTGCTCAAGGACCACTTCTGAGTGCTCAGGGACTCATATGTGGCGCCAAGGTTCAAATTGGGGTCAGCCTTATACAAGACAAGTGCCGTACCTGTTGTACTATCTTTTAGGCATTCATATTTTGTGTTTTGCTTTGTTTAGTTTGAGGGAGCACACCCAGAAGTGCTTAAGGGGCTACTCCTAACACAATGCTCAAGGGACTACACGATGTCTGGGACTGAACTTGGGACTCCTGCATGCAGGCATGCACTCCAGTCCTTCCAACATGTCATTGACACTGATATCCATATTTCTATGGAGTGCAAATGAAACCCAAATGGCTGTCCCCTCAATCGAAATTAGGTTGCTAAAATATTAACTAATAAATCTCTTTAGCACTGTAGTACTGTCCTCCCGTTGTTCATCAATTTGCTTGAGCGGGCACCAGTAACATCTAACAACAAATTGTGAGACTTGTTGTTACTGTTTTTGGCATATCGATACATCACAGGGAGCTTGCCAGGCTTTGCCGTTTGGGCGAGATACTCTTGGTAGCTTGACGGGCTCTCCGAGAGGGGCAGAGGAATTGAACCTGGGTCATGCAAGGCAAATGCCCTACCCACTGTGCTATTGCTCCAGCCCCTCTTGAGGTAAACCATCTAAAATGCATTTACCTCAATTGTCTTTGTTGTTTTTTCTCCTTTGCCTTCTTCTTTGGAGTTTTCAGATTTCTCTGCTTCATCTTCCTTCTCAGTTTTTTCTTCTGATTCATCTGTCAAATCTACAGACCCAATGGTCTGATCTTCTTCAACCCATTCATGTGCTTTCTTCATGGCCTGCAGAAACACACGAACACCCAATCAAAGCTATACACTTATTGTGCAAGTAAGCAAAATGGGAAATTCCAACCCAGGAGATGACTCAGTGGCAAAAGCACCTGCCATGTGGGTGTGAGGCCATGAGTTTGGGCCTGGGGTCATCCATGAGTGCTAGGTACAGTCTTATCAGCTCTGTAGACTGGAGCCCATACTAAGCCCTACACTGTGACTAAAGTATGTGGTCACCATAGAGTTCTCTAGCTAAATGGTGCACTGGTGTCAGGGGAGTGCAGTGACCCCCACCAGTATCTGTGTGGGCAGGCAGGCCTGCCAGTAAGCATGATAGCCAAAGTGTGTCAGCACCACAGTGAAAAGTGTGTGGTCCCTGGTGGGCATCACAATCAAGTTTTGTATGATCCCCATCATCACAACAAGAAGGGAAGGGGGGTCAGAGAGCCAGTACAGTGGGCAGGGCTGCACCTGTCTTGATACGGTCAACAAGTTCGATCCCTGGTACCACATATGCCCCCCCCACCTCCAAGCCTTCCAGGAGTGATTCCTGAGTACAGAGCCAGGAGTAAGACCTAAGCATGGCTCGGTATGGGCCTCCCCTGCAAAAAAGTGAGAAATTTCAACTTTAGGGTTAGGATCAAGTTGCCATAAACTTGAAAGGTGTATGTTTAAAGAGGGAGGGACAAATTATTCACTTAAAAGCCTCCTGTTGCAGGTGGGGAAAGGGAAGTGTAGCAGGGGTAGGAGGGAACCTTCGGACACTATCAGGGAGAGGTGGACACTGATGCTGGATTGGAACGCAGTTTACCTGAAACTCAACTCTGAATAACTTTATAAATCATGACACCTTAATAAGTAAAGTAAAGTAAAGTAAAGGCCCTCCCGTTGATCATCGATTTGCTCGAGCGGGCCCAGTAACGTCTCCATTGGAGACTTTGTTGTTACTGTGTTTGGCATATCGAATACGTCACGGGGAGCTTGCCAGGCTCTGCCGTGCAGGCGAGATACTCTCGATAGCTTGCCGGGCTCTCCGAGAGGGGCAAGGAATTGAACTTGGGTCGGCCATGTTGGCTGCGTGCAAGGCAAACGCCCTACCACTGTGCTATCGCTCCAGCCCTTAATAAAAAAAAAAAAATTAAAACAGGGGCTGGAGCGATAGCACAGTGGGTAGGGCATTTGCCTTGCACGTGGCCGACCCGGGTTCGATTCCCAGCATCCCATATGGTCCCCTGAGCACCGCCAGGACTAATTCCTGAGTGCAGAGCCAGGAGTAACCCCTGAGCATCGCCAGGTGTGACCCCCCCCTAAAAAAAGAAAAGATAAAAAAATAAACAAAAGTTAAAAAAAAGTCAAAACACACTGGTGTTGGGATTAGACAGACCGACTAGTGGGTAGGATGTGTGCCACGCATGCAGCTGACCTGGGTTCAGTCATAGGTACCACCTATGATCCCCTCAAGTGTATCAGGAGTGATCTGAGCACAGGGCCAGGAGTAAATCTCGTAGGGTATGGCTCCATCTCCTCCTCCCACCCCCCAAAAACCCTTACCCTTGTTGAGTCTGGAGATGAGTCAAAGGGTTGGAGCACATGCTTTGCACACAAGCATCCAGGTTCATTCCCCAGCACCACCAGTTCCCTGAGCACTGCCAGGTTTGCCTCCCCATTCCCAACACCCCCAGCAAAAACCAAACACCTTGCTGCGGCTTTCTGGTAAATATAGAGTAACAAAAGGGAAGAAACAGAAAGAAAGGGCAAGAGCATTGTGGGTCTGGAGGACTCCCCAGAGCCCGAGAACGGGTCTGGAGAACCAGCCTGCTGCGTGCTGCAGTGGGGAGAGGGTGGCTGTGGGGTCAGGGTAGCACTGAGGAGGGGTCTCAGAGAGAAGTGGACACTCTGGTGAAGGGTGTGGAGATGGAATAAATGGATGCATGAAACCCTCTCGTTGACAGCCTTGTAAATTACAGCAACTGAAATAAAATTTTAGTTCAGTTTTACAACATAGCAAGAGTTGTCTAGAAGGATCAATAGTCTATTTTCACTTTTCCTTAGCAACTATAAACTAATAATAGTACTTGAGGCTGGAAGTTAGATAGGACCTTAGGTGGGAAGAAGGGTAGCTACAATCACGGCTGTACAGCAAACACTCTGATACAGCTCATAAACTAACTCTTAATATTTCCCGCTGGGGAGCTGAGCAAAGGCTGTACTCCCCCAGATCAAGAGGGAAGAGGAGGAAGTTGTTGGAAAGATCTGGAATGCCCCCTGACTTGTTTAATTCGCCAAGTATGTTCTGAGCTGCCTGAGAACTAAAAAAAATTCTGACTCAGTTGAACATGCGGGCATCCCCTTCCCAAAGGGTTATTTATTCTCAGACTTTTGCAAGGTCAGACTCAGACGCTGATAAATAACAGCCTAAGCTGTTTGCTTAAGAGACGGTTGTTTCTACCCTGAATTCTCATGTTAAAGCTTTCATCTCCAAAGTTTCATGCATCAGGGTGTTGACGACTTAGTTCCAAGGAGAACCTGAGCAAACTCTAGGTGTGTCCTCTTTCTGGGACAAAGGTATCCCTGACTAGGGCACAAACTAATGGCACCTCAGAGGCGGCTTCTTGGAGCAATGGCAGATGCTGCCCGGAGATGAATGAGGCAATTTCCTGCCGTGCTCAACTCACTGACCTCCTGGAATGGGCGACCTCTATCCGAGATAAAGAAATTTCTCATCTGTCCACTTCACTGCCTCATCTTGCCTATCCCTCCCCCACCTTGGTAAGTGGGGGCCGGGGTCAACTACTGCTTGCTAGGAAGAAAGGGGGAAAAAGACAATGGGAAAAATCACATACTTTTAGTTAATGACTAGCGTTCTCATTACTCCACAGTAAGGCCTTTTATTCACTTGCAAAATATTTGTGTATTCTCAGGGAAAGCCATATTTCAATCGAAACTGGAATGCTCTTCTTTTCTTTATGATGATTTGGTTTTGGTTTTGGAGGAAACAGACATTTATTTATTTGGTTTGGGGGGCATTTCCAGTGGTTCCCAGAGATTACTCTCCTGTCTCTGTGCTCAAGAATCACCCCTGGCGGGATTCAGGGGACCATATTGGGTGCTGGGGATGGGACCAGGGCCAGCCTCTTGTGAAGCAAATGCCCTAGTGACTGTACCATCTCTCTGGTTCCAGAAACAGAAACGTTTTTAAAATGTTGACTGACATTCCAGGTGGGCAGGGACATCTGCCTGCAAAAGCTTCTAATTCTGGCCAATAGAAGCAAGGGGAGATGGTATCTGAAAAAGTCACTAGGTGATTCTGTACCCCTTGTCTCCACTGCTCTGAGAAAATTCAACTTTGAGGAGAAATGGCTTACAAAGTCACAAGGTATTTTGACTATGAAGTGTAAGCTAAAATGTAATCTCATGACACAGGTGTATATTTTAGAGGGGGCTCCCCTGTTGGTGTTCAGGGACTGCTCCCCAGCTCAGTGCTTTGGGGTCATTTCAGCAGTGCTTGGAGGAACGACGCAGTGCCGGTAATGGAGCTCAGGCTCCCACACGCATAGCATGGAACTATTGCCCTAACCCCTCACAGGAGTTTTGCATGCTCTATTACATTTCATTATGTTGCCTCCCTGATTCTTAATTACTGAAGCCAGATTCTACATTCCCAGCCTCTGCCATGGGATTTGGGGCTTTTTTCATTTCCAGTAGATATCTGGCATCTTTTACTAAGACTTTAAAATAAATAAATAAATAAATAAATAAACAAATAAATACCACGACTATGGCAACAGTTTGGACTCAGAGGGTGCTGACCTTATTGAGTTTGTCAGGCGTGGCCGCAACATGTAATTCGAAGAGAAGCTCTGTGAGCATGCTAGCGAATTCTTCTCCCTTTTCTTCTGGGCCTAGAAATGGAAAATGACAGAAGGGACAGGCTGATTTAGTTGGCATCCTTCAGAATGTGGTGGCTCCCCCAAACTTAAGCCCAATCTGTGGGAAGGTGAGGAGAGGTTGTTTTCAAAGCAGCACAGCTGTAGGGCAGGAGACTGCCATGGGTGAGGGGAAGCAGAAGCCCACCACTCAAAGCTGCAGTGAGGGCACCCCCAGCTTGGCCAGAGGGCCAGATGGAGCAGAGAGGGGTTCTGCTATGCTGGTCAGCAGCTTTCTTAAAAGAATAAGTAAATAAACAAACACCTGTGCTCTCAGGACTGAGGCCTGTGACAACACTGTCCATCTGACTGAGTGCTGCACACGAGCCCTGCACCCCTTCTCATGCTTGGGGGCTCTTGGATGTCCACAGAGCCCCAATGCTGAACAGTAGCAGGCAGACCCAGTGGGTTGTGAATGATTTCCTGTAACAATGTTAGATCTCTAAAGAAATCTCCTCAGATTTCCTCAGACACTTGCCTGAGCCCACGCTAGTCAGTGGAATGTCTTCCCTCCAGACAGGAGCTTCTTTAAGGTTAGAGGGGTGTTTGATTTGGTTTATTCTGGAATCCAGAGCATTTAACACATGCTCTGGACATGGCAGGTCTCAAATGAATGTCTTATTAATAAACATTGGGGCTATTAATACATGATCAATAAATTATGAAATAATAGATAAGAACATGCCAGCTAGAATACACATATCCAATTTTGCATATATATAGTATCTCCTATAACAAAATATATAACATTTATATTTTATAGTACATAAAATATATACTATAATATAAAATGAATTAAAGTCATGAATGGGCTCTAAGAGGAGAGATCTTTATTTATTTATTTTGCTTTTTTTTGAGTCACACCTGGCGATGCACAGGGGTTACTCCTGGCTTTGCACTCAGGAATTACTCCTGGCCGGGCTCAGGGGACCATATGGAATGCTGGGAATCGAACCCGGGCCAGCCACGTGCAAGGCAAACGCCCTACCCTCTGTACTACTGCTCCAGCCCTGAGAGAGATCTTTAAAAACGTTGGGGCCAGAGCAACTGCACAATGGGTAATGTATTTGCTTTGCACTTGGCAGACCTGGGTTTGATCCTGACATCCCATCCGGTCCCTTGAACACCGCAAGGAGTGATTCCTGAGTGCAGAGCCAAGAGTGACCCCTGAGCATTGCTGGCGTGACCCCCAAACAAATGACAACTTAATAAAAATTAATAAAAATTAAGTCTGGCAAACTCCCCGTAGCGTACCCAATATGCCAAATCCAGTAACAATGATGGGTCTCATTCTCCTAAAGAGCCTTGAATATAATCTCAGGGCTAGGATGAAGGAGACGTTACTGGGGCCTGCTCGAGGCAATCGACGAATAACAGGATGATTTGTGATTGTGTGAATAAAAATTAAAAAATTTAAATGACTGTATTTTGTCCTTTGACTCACTGCGGTTTCTGAGACCACGATAGGTTTCTGGTAAGTACAAAGTAACTGAGTGCATCATCTTCATTGTGGTTGGTGGGGTGGAAGTGAAAACTCATTAATTTGGGATGATCATATCTCCCTAGTCCTCAACAATGCTCTAGTACACAGGCAGGTGAAGATAAGCTTCAAGAATGATCGGCCAAGTAAGACAGATAGCTAACAGTCCTGGGCACACACACTTTTCTGCTTTTAGGGCTGCAACAGCTGGAAAAGAGAGCTCGGTCACTTTCAGTCTTTGTCAAACCTCTCAGCCTCTCACTTTATCACCCCTGAGAGTTCCTATGTTCTCTGGGGAGACAGATGGAGAAACAGAGGAGAAAAGGCATCCTTGTCAGGTTGGTAGAGATGAAGGAAGAGGGACAGGGGCCCCTGCAGGTGACGTTTGCAATGGGTGGGCAGCTGAGAAGTGACCTGTAGGTCATGCCTTGGAGGGACAGAGGGTGAACTGCTCCAGGCAAGGGTCAGATGGAGACACTTGACCAGTGCAAAGCTCAGGAGGGACTGTGCTGCTGGGGCTGGCATGGAGGCAGAGTGGCCACAGAAGGGCAGACACACACACATGCAGCGTGCACACACTCACACACACAGAAAGAGAGAGAGAGAGAGAGAGAGAGAGAGAGAGAGAGAGAGAGAGAGAGAGAGAGTTGTGGTTCTCAGCCAGGCAGAGTCTAGGTTTTATCAGGAAGATGCCTGGTCTTTCTCAGACTGTTTGAGGCTGTGTTACAGGAAAGAAAACACACGAACTGAGATGCGGAAAATGTGCTTCTAACCAGTTCCTGCATTTACTGGTTCTGGGGCTTGGGGCCAGTCACAGAGTGTCTTCGTTTCCACTCCTTTAAGCATAAGGTAAGAAAACCGACCCTCTTTGGCATGCTGTAGACAAAAATAATATAATGAATGTGAAAGCATTCTGCAAATGATCAAGCTTTATGTTACTACTGTTATGTGTTGCAGAGATGTAAGCAGCGGAGATTGAACACAGTTGGGAACACTCAACACTAAATTAGAGCACAAGTACTTTGGGCAGCGTTGGATTCTAAATGTTCATTTGCTCTATAAAACAGGAAAACACACCAATAACTTCTGGCAAATGTTTTTAGGAAAAGAATCAGTGGGAAAGAGAGGAATATAAAGAAACAGATGATAAAGAATGTTGCAACAAAGAATATCTATTACTACAACTCTTGGTCTGTCCCTAGGGCTAAGAGGATCTTCACCAAGGCAATAAAAATAGAAAACAGCCTTTTAAATTCTCTCCACAGCAGTGGTAAACCACATCAGAGACCCAGAGCAGCATGATAAAATCACACTCAGTGGAAAGACCAACATGCAAATCATCAGCTAATGCTGCTAACAGCAGAGAAGTCTGCTCTCAAATTGACCTGAAAATGACATTTGATTACATTTTCACAAAAAAAATCAAATAAATTATTTAAGTATTAGGAAGTGTTTCAGAATAAGTGAGCTTGTGAGAAAGCACATTGATGAAAACACTGTGTTTCCATGATGTTTGGCATCTGGATTGTCTGCTCATTCCCAGTGACCAGCCACTTCTTCTCTAACCATTCATCATGAGGGGATCCACGCAACCATAACCCCACAATTCTTTTCTCCTGGTTCTTCTTTAAGTGTTTGGATGAAATTTATTCATCAAACGAAGCGAATTATAATAAAATATTTCAATTATCTGTAGTGGTCCTTTGGGAAAATGGATCTATTGTGGGGAGAGATAGGGTCATTTCCTCTTCTTAAAATAAAATGCTCGTCACAACGTCATCTGGGGTAGGGAGTCATATTCTTCTATCTCAATTTAGTGAGAAAAGTGAGATGTAGTAAAACTATCATTCATAGTAATATGTCTTATTTAGCATTAAGTGTCCTCTGCAAGAAGCAGTACTAGTTGGGGTGCAATACTGCCTTAACATGTACCCACACGTCTCAATCTCTGATGGAAGGGGATGTGGGAATGTCTGTCTCTGCATCCTTTCCAAATGGCATTCCCACTAAGATCAAGGGATAGCTGAGGCATCTGGAAATTGAACAAAAGAGCCTGGTTCTTTCTGGAAAATAGCCTGAAAAGAGGCACTGATATTAATTTATCTTGAAGCCACAACCCTAGCTGCATCACCTCTGACAGCAAATGTCTTAGTTTTCTCGACATTCGAACAGAGGCAAGGCTGTCATCCTGGGTAACTTGGAGAAACCTACAAATGCTATGAAAGAACATTATTTCCCAACTGTCTCTCTGGCCTCTTCCTATGGCCTCTTTCTATGGGGCTATATAATTTATTCTTTTATTTAGATGCAATGAGCACAAACCTCATTAAGCTGAGCATGCGAAAGGTCAGAATTTGTGGTGAGAGAGAGATTGGTATTTAAATGACAGTTTTTAAATGCTTATAATAATTTTGCTCTGAGCATCCAGGCTGAATTCTTGGAGCTCACGAGTTTTGGTTTTGATGAAAGGTATGCAACATGCCTGGACACAAAGCTTTCAGTGACTTAATGGCTCGAATGAGCATTATCACCACTCTGGGTGGGCATTAATAAATGCAGTCATACACAACAGGTACAATTACTGCACCTTTATTATTTTCCTGGCATTTTGTTAGTACTTTAATAATTGCAGCCAATATCTTTGAGCAATTCTGCATGCCTGGTTGTGTCATAGACCTTAAAAGTTATTACAGGTATAATCTACTTTGATTCTCACACTGGCCCTTAGGAATATGTATTATTATTTCCATTTTATAGGTGTAAATACTGAACATCAGAGATTATTGCAAAGCAAGTGAGTGGCAAAAATGGTTCAAATGAGACCCATCAGATGACCCTACAAAAAGTCTGTTTTGTGTGTCCAGGTGTATAATTTTCAGGAAACAACTAAGGTTAGACCAGCATTAACATCAGTAAGAAATCACTCTCTAGAAACACACGCAAACTCAATTCTGTTCCCACATGGTCAACCCTGAGTCATCAGTAAGGAGGTGTAAGTCTGAGAAGCTTTTCTTCCCCCTTCATAAGGAAGTCTTGCTTCTGAACACAAAATAGGTCTAGTGTCCCTGGAGTCATGCTGGGTGACAACCAGGAGCATGCTCCTGAGTCAGGTCAGTGACGGCCAACCTGACATATCACTCCCAGTGCACTGTGGGAAAATGGTTCAAACTTTATCTGAATTAAACACTTTGGGTGGATTGCAGACCACTTACGTATACACACTAACTCCTGAACACTGACATAAAAGGGAAGACAAATAGGAAAAGAAGCCTGCTGAATCACCCATCCAGCATCCACAGCAATTATATTCAACAGCTTCGGGAGACTACCAATTAGCTGTTGGAGCAGAGGCTCAAGTCAGCAGGGCCCTCGAAGCACTGTATTCTTTCTTTCTTTGCTTGATCAGCCTGACTATGGCATGCCTTTAATGTGTCAGGGACTGTGCTGGACCAGAGAAGTAAAGACAGCAGTCAGGAATTCCCACCAAGCAAAGGAGAGAATTAGAAATCAATGGGACCCACCTCACCATGGCAATTCTAATAAAAATCCCAAAGAACAGAGACCCGGGGTGTCTAGGAAGTTGGGGAGAGGCAACTGAATTAAATGTTCACCCCACTCCATCCTAAGGACTGTACTCATCAACTCATGAGGATTATACAGACACATTTGTTTTGCTATCTAATGCATTATTTTCCTTTACCTGGTTCTTCTTGATTCTCTTCATTCTCTTCACCCTCTAATTCTTTGGCTGCGAAGATGTCTTTAATGGAAATTAGGTCATGTTTTAAGAGCTCCAGCTCCTCTCCATTAAGTGAAGCTAAAAATGACTGAACCTGAAAAAAGAAATAGGTCAGCATAGCTGTCACTGCTCCTCGTTACTAACAAGCATGTAGTTCCAGGTCCCTCCTGCTCTCAAGATTGAGAAGTGGTGGAAAAAGCTGGGCTCACTGTTAGATTTACTGCAACTTTGGGTGAGTTATAAAAGCTCACTGGGGGCTGGAGTGATAGCACAGTGGGTGGGGCATCTGCCTTGCACACGGCCAACCCGGGTTCAATTCCCAGCATCCCATATGGTCCCTCAAGCACCGCCAGAAGTAATTCCTGAGTGCAGAGCCAGGAGTAACCCCCGAGCATTGTTGGGTGTGATCCAAAAAGAAAAAAAAAGAGATCCCTGGGTCTTAGTTGTTTTTGTTTTTCAGTAAGATCCACATTGCTGTGATCCTTTATAGGGTAAACAAAATACCATGTATTAAAGCACATAGCACAGGTGTATATAGTGGGTGTGACATGAAAAGTGGAGATAGCTCTTCTGTCTTTGGTAGACATGCTTGGTTGTTAACCTGAGATTCAAACGTCTCTTACACTAGGGAAACAAGTCGGAAGAAGAAAGACAAATACTGGATGATCTCACTTATAGGCACCAATATAATGAAAGAAAGCAAGGGAACAGACACCCCCAACAAAAACAAAGACTTCTGGATTCTGATGGCAGAACTGGGGTTACCTTGGGAGAATAAGGAGGTATGAAAGCTCGAGGGGGCCTGATGAACAGTGTTGGAAGGTTATGGATACTTGGATGCTCAGTGTGGTCCGGTAACTTACATTTTAAAGAGGTGTGAAACTCTAGCTCTAAAGCATACACAGTCTTGAAAATCAATGTTACCTCAAAAAACAATAAAAGATATTGCCTCTGTGCTTGATTTTGAAGTCTTAGGTACTTTAACAAGTCTCTGCCTCAGTTTTCTTTTTCTTTCTTTGGTTTTTGAGTCACACCTGGCAGTGCACAGAGGCTATCTCAGTTCTATGCTAGGGGACTGGTCCTGGTAGTGCTCAGGCGACCATATGGTGCCAGAGAGCAAACTTGGGCCTCCTGCACACAGAGCATGAGCAGGTGGGAGCCAGCACAACTGGAGGGTGGTGTCCCCTCTCCTGCTCTGACCACCTCCAAGCCTTCATTTTCTTTAGTGTTTTTATTTTATAAAATAGTTCACAATATTTGATTACATTTAATATTCAAACACAAATCCCACCACGATTACACCTTCCCACTACCATATTTCGAATGTTTCCATCCCAGAACCCAACCCCTGCCCTAAAGCAGAACCCAAATAATGTATTTTGTATTGTTTGTTAAAAAAAAACACTGAAAATGCTACAAAAGAGTTTCCTTAGAGGAAAGAGTGTGAAGATTGTTGTATTTCACCCAGGGGTCATTAAGCTCTTCTATAAGGGATCACTAACATGTCATTAAAGGTTGAGCCTTGTGTTTGTTTATATGTGTGTGTATGTATGTATGTATGTATGTATATATGTGTGTGTGTCTGTGAAAAAAATATTTCCCTCTAAGATTGGTTGCCTCCTACTTTTGAACCCCATCAAATGTGGTGTGGTACTCTTGGAGTATGGGTAGTCACTGTCACTGTCCTCCCGTTGTTCATCGATTTTCTCAAGCGGGCCCAGTAACATCTCCATTGTGAGACTTTGTTGTTACTGTTTGGCATATCGAGTACATCACGGGGAGCTTGCCAGGCTCTGCCATGCGGGCGAGATACTCTCGGTAGCTTGCCGGGCTCTCCGAGGGGCGGAGGAATCGAACTTGGGTCGGCCATGTTGGCTGCGTGCAAGGCAGTGCAAGTCCTACCCGCTGTGCTATGGGTAGCATATGGTATGAATTTGCAGCCGCGGGATCCAGGAATAGATTCACTTATGGTTGAGGCTCAGCCCAAGTGTGTGGATAGTGGCCGTGAGCATGGAAGCATTTGAGTTCTGTAGGTTTTTGCCTGCCGGGGCTGGGTCCCTTGGGGTGGGGAGGGGTCTCACCCTCCCCCTTCTTGACACCCTGAATGAAACAGCCTGGCGCGGGGTCTGGTGGCATGGTGATGGTCATGTTATGCTCCCTTCTGGGAGAGAAGGACTTGCGACTCTGGATGGTGGCCAATGACGAGATTATCTGGCACCAGCCAGAGGTGGCTTATGGGCGTGACTGCTGAGTTGCTGGAAAAAGGGGGATATGGGCAGAGAATCCCTGTTTTCAGTCACAAAGTCCCGCATACCTGGGTTTTCTGGGGGTTTACTCATGAGTGAGACTTGGCCTGAGCATGTGGAGAGTGGCCGTGAGTTCTGGACGTTTTTGGCTGCCAGGGCTGGGTCCCTTGGGGTGGGGAGGGCTCTCACCCGCCCCCCCTCAGGGGTGCCTCGAGTGAAACAGTCTGGTGCAGGGTCTGTCCAAGCCTTCATTCTGGATCTGATGCTCAATGTTCAAGTCTTGGGTCTAGATGTGCACAGCTCATACCCCTATGCTTTAGATCTGTTTCCTAAGCAGCACAATATAATGACTTCTGGATTCTGGTGGCAGTTTTCTTTTTTCTTTCTTTTTGCTTTTTGGGTCACCCCTGGCTATGCTCAGGGGTTACTCTTGGCTCTGCACTCAAGAGTTACTTCTGGTAGTGCTGAGGGGACCATATGGGATGCTGGGGATCGAACCTGGGTCGGCTATCTGCAAGGCAAATGCCCTACCCGCTGTGCTATTGCTCCAATCTCCAGAAGCAGTTTTCTAAGAGCTAACAAGCGCAATCACCGGATACATGCTTCAGAATGCAGCATGGTAAAAACATGCACATACACACATAACATTTTTGTTTCCCTACGTCTTCTGAGGTACAGCCATCCTCTGGGATTTTCATGCTGTGAATGTTTTCTGGAAAACATTCTTTTTGTCTTGCAGTGTGTGTGTGTGTGTGTGTGTGTGCGCGTGCTCAGGACTTATTCCTGGCTTTGTGCTAAGGGATGACTCCTAGTCTCCTAGTGGAGATTTGGGGGACCATGTTGAGTGCTGGGGAACCAGGCAAGCTCCTTAACTCCTCTACTATGTCTCCCATTGCCACAAAGGATTCTGCCGGTGGTTCTCAGGGAACACCAGTGTTACTTCCAGTGGTGTCCCTGGGGTCAAACAGTGCCAGGGATGCGATCTAACTCCTAAGAGACATGTGCTCTAACCACTTGAGCTATACCCCTGGCTCCATGGTTTTACAGTTCAATTTTTAAAAAATCATCATTTAATAATGAACCACAAAAAAATGTCCTGGATAGCTCATGGACAACAACAAAGGGGAAAGAAAGAAAGAAAGAAAGAAAGAAAGAAAGAAAGAAAGAAAGAAAGAAAGGAAGGAAAACAAGAAAGAAGGAAGGAAGGAAGGAAGGAAGGAAGGAAGGAAGGAAGGAAGGAAAGAAAAAAAAGGGTGAGAGTGATAGTACAGCAGGGAAAGCATTTGTCTTGCACTTGGCTAATCCGGGTTTGATCCCCAGAATCCCATATGATCACTCGAGCACTGCCAGAACATATTCCTGAGTGCAGAACCAGGAGTAACCCCTAAACATTTCTGGGTGTAACCCAAAAAGAAAGGAAAAAAGCAGAAAAAGGAAAAAAGTCTCAGAAACATGCAACTTGATGATCTGGAGGAGGGGATGGGCCCGTTGGTCCTTGGCCACTTGTTCTAAGTCAGAGCTCACCCTCCCTGTCCAAGTGGACATCAAGGATCCCTCAACTTCCTCAGAATTCAAATATAAGAGTGTCAGACTCAGAACCCACTTCTCTAAGCCAAGGCTCATGTCCAGGTTGAGCTTGCTGTTCCAGGTTTTCCCCTTCCTCAGTGAATGCTGCCTGGCCCATAGCCCCTACGAGATACTGCTGCCTGCAGCTTCCCTGGAGAAAACACCCTTGTCTACATCAGCCTGATTCGTTTATGCAATGAAGAGTCATTTAAACATGCTTACTGACTATGTGCATAGGTTGCTACATAAGCACACACAGATCTGCATTAGGTTTGGTTTCGTTTTTTCAAAACTCACCACACCTTGCTGATGGTTGCTACTCAGGCTTTCCTTTGGGGATCATAGTGTGGAAAGCATGAATGGGTGACTGGTCACCCCAGGGTTCCGTCAGGAACATCACCTTATGAACTTTAACCCTGAGTGGAAAAGACCTTGCCTGCCATCTGAGGCCACGGCGTTCTAACAAGTGAGTGAATAAATAATGTTCGAAGTCATAAAACTAAATCTATTAAAACCTGCAGTATTTTTCCAATGTTGTTCTTTCATTTCTATTTTGCTATTTAGGGTTTGATGATTATTTTTCCACTTCCAACATTTTCCCCAATAGTTAAAAAATGGTATAAGAACCTTACAGTCTTACCGATTTTTTCTTTAATATGGATATATTAATACCACCTTTTATTTATCACACAAGAAAAAAAATCTCTAAGAAAAAAATTGTTCCTGGAACCAACCAATATGAAGTGATTTTATTGCTCCTGTTTTACCAGACTTATAAATAACTTTCATCTAGCTATTTCAGAACTGCATATATTACAGCTGACATATAACTGACAAAGGTAATTCTCTCTTTATTATTAAAAAACAATTGATACTGTTAATGATGATTTCTCATGCACATAATTCCAATATGACACCCAGTGTCCCACCTCCCTCCCCCAAGGCCCTCTATGCCCCTTCCTTTCAATTTCCTCCAACTGCCCATCTCTATTTATGTGGATCAGTTCTCTGGCTGTGTTGCCTTTGGCTCTTTGTTGTTACTTAACTTTGCATCTTTAAATCCCACATATGAGAGAGAGCTCATTCGTATCTATCATTCCATATCCATCTGTCTCCTTCAGACTGATTCACACAGCACGATACCCTCTAGTCCCATCCTTATTGATACAAATTGCATTATCTTTCAAGCCTGCAGTCTGGAAGAAACATAAGCTCTCAGTTTCACTTGGAAAGGACTGAGGCCAGATTCTGGTGGGCATTTCTGGCATGGGGGAAGCCTGGGATTCCAAACTGGGATTTTCAGCTGGCTTTTGCACTGGAGATGTGGAGAGAGTGTTAGACAAAGCCTCCTGGAGCTGGGAAATGATACAGCTTGGCATAGTGAAGGAAAGAATATGGAGCAAGAGCGGTCATCGGGCTTCATAGAATTTGTGATCTTAGCATAATGAGCCTGGCAAGCTCCCCGTGGCATATTTGATATGCCAAAAACAGTAACAACAAGTCTCACAATGGAGATGTTACTGGTGCCCACTCGAGCAACTCAATGAACAATGGGAGGAAAGTGCTACAGTGCTACAGCATAATGAGGTTCTAAAAATGAGATATTTAGGACCTGAGTGCTAGTACATCAGGTAGGGTGCTTTCCTTGCATAGGGTCAACCTGGGTTTGATCCCTGGCATCCCATAGGGTCCCACAAGCCCTGCCAGATGTGATCTCTGGGTGCAGAGCCAGAAGCAAGCCCTGAGCACTGCCAGGTATGGTACCAAAACCAAATAAATAAGTACAGTTCAAATGAGGTATTTGGGGGTGCAGGGGAAAGCACAGTGACTTAGAATGTCTGCCTTGTAAGCACTGGTCATGAGTTTAATCCCTGGAGCTGCCACATGTGCCCAGTACAAACTTGGTAGCTCTGCTGTCTGTGAACCTAGTGCTGCAAGAGATTCCACAGCCACAGGTGTGAATACCAAAACCAATGGAGTGTGACCCTCGGTGACTTCCACGGCTAAGTGTGCAAGTACCACAACTTGATGAGCTCCATAATCACGGGTGCAAGTGCCATGACCAGACATGTGTGTGATTCCCCACCCCCTTGTCATTGTAAAAATACCAAGAGCAGTGACTATGGAAAGTGGGCATGGATTTTTTTTAAAAAACAAAGCTGTCTAGACAACACTATATGCTGAAACATAAAATATTCAGTCTGGTAAATCAACCTTATCTCAATGGAAAAAAATTTTAGAGAGCCAAAGCTCTCAAGTGGGAGGGTGGCCAGGGACATAGAAAAAAAATTTTCAAGGCGGATTTTCAGTTTCTTTCATGTTTTAGAAAATTCTTCCACAGGGGTCGGAGCATCAGTACAGCAGGTAGGGAGTTTGATTCCCAGCATCCTATATGCTTCCCCGAGCAGCACCGAGAGTGATTCCTGAGTGCAGAGCCAGGAATAACCCCTGAGCATCGCTGGATGTGACCCAAACACTGGGAAAAAAAGGAAGGAAGGAAGAAAAAATGAAGGAAGGAAGGAAAGAAAGAAAGAAAGAAAGAAAGAAAGAGAAGGAGAGAAAGAAAGAAAGAAGGAAGGAAGGAAGGAAGGAAGGAAGGAAGAAAAAAAGAAAGAGAAAAAGAAAAGCATCTGGAAACAGGTTACTTAAAAATGACCAGCACACACACATACCTTGTTTTCACTTTCATTGGACAGAATTTCCAGGGCTTCCAGGTGTGACAACCCTTGGTACTCATCAAACAGCAGCCCATAGTGCACAGTCCTCTCATCTGGAAGCTGCTGGGCCAGTCTCTGCTTCTCCTTCTCCTTGGCTTCCCTTAACAGCTGCAGAAAGACACAGATTGGTACACTCATGCACGCACACAGAGAGATGAGGGGCAGAGGCAGTACACAGTTTAGGTGCTCACCACACAGGAAGTTGACCATTGCTCAATCCCTAGCACTGCATAAGGACTGCATATGGTCCCCTGAGACCCTCTAGAAGTAACCCCTGCGCACAGAGCCAGGAGTAAGCGCTGAGTATTGCAAGTATGGTGCTCTCCTCCTTCCATGTTTAAAAAAGAAAGATGGGGGTTGAAATGAACTCTTTCCTTGGAATTTCTTCAATTGTAACTTTTAGGGGGAAGGATTCTATTGGTATTTTTTTCTTTTAATACTGCAATTTTGTTCATTATGTACATGACAAAACCAAGCAGAAATTCTCCACCTGGGAGAAGAATTAGAAAAACAGCTTCACACAGTCTCACAGTGGTTTGCAATGGTGTGCTTTCTCTGTGTGTGAGGAAATTCCTATTTTCTAAAACACTCACTTTTTTCTACAAAGCACAGTCAATATTCAGTGGGAAAATCTAATCTAGCAAGTCAGGTTTGACTGCGATTTCTACACCAGGCAGACTTCAAAACAGAATTAAGCTGGCTTGATTTTATTTGAATTTTATTATTTAGAAATTTGAATCTGTGTGCTTATTAAATAGCTTTGATGAAAATAGTAATAAAATATAAACTCATTATGTGTTTCTCACCAGATACTCACTATAATCAATTCTTAGATTGGTCTCCAGAACTGGGACTGTAAACTGAATTTCTCTTGATGTTGTTAATTTTTCTCCTGTTATTCCTGTTATTCGACTGGTTATTTTCTAGTTCTCACTCTCAGAGAACCTGGCAGGCTACTGAGAGTATCCTGCCTGCATATATGCCTAACTGGGAACACCTGTAAAGGTGATTAGAGGCTGCCCCAAAAGTGTCCATCCCTCTCGGAGAGCCCGGCAAACTACCGAGAGTATCCCACATGGGACAGCTTGGCAAGCTCCCTGTGGCGTACTCGATATGCCAAAAACAGTAACAATGATGGTCCTCATTCCCCTGACCCTCACAGAGCCCCCAGTATGCCATCGGGCTACACTAGCACATGACAGGGACGAATGGAGACATTACTGGTGCCGCTCGAGCAAATCGATGAACAATGGGGTGATAGTGAGAGTGATTGATAGTGATAGTTGTTAATTTTTCTCCAGTTTTTTTGGAAGATTTTAAAAAAGATAACAGCATGAACACAAATCCATCAATCATTTCCAATACCTTATCCCCGCTTTCTTGATCCTAGCATCTTTTAAAACTTCATCAAGTTTACTAGGACATTGAGCTACAGGGTTCTTTAGTGGAGAGTACTGCCGATAGACTGGCCACCCCACGGTAATAAGGAGAGCACAGAAGGATAGACTCCATTTTTTTATTGTCAAGAAGACAGTTAGCCTCATTCTCCTTTAGGTTCTTGAAGTTGCTAAAGAAAAACCCATAGGGTTCAGGGCTGGAGTGGGTAAGGCACTTGCCTGGTATGCAGCCAACCCGGGTTCAATCCCTGGCACCACATATGGTCCCTAGAGTCCCACGAGTAATGTGATCTCTGAGAGCTGAGCTGGGATTTAGCCCTGAGCACAGCAGTGTGTGTCCCCCGCCTCAATATTCAAGAAAATTAAAATCTAATATCTATGTAATTTTCTAAATATAAAACTCTAATACTGAGTTTGCTCTTCCAGGTGTCACATGCCCTACTCTCTCCCTTGTCTCCTGATTTATCTGGTCCCTCTCCCATACTGTAATCAGGGGGACCAGCTGATGTCACAGATTTGCGATCAAACCTGGGTTAGCGGAGTGCAAGGCAAGTGCCCTGCCTGCTGTACTCTCTCTGCCCCTAATTTTCTTGACTATTGTGAGTAAATATAACATAAAATCCTTCCCATAATTCTTCTCAAGAAGGATAGAAAACTTGAGAGCTAGAAGTGTGAAATGAAGGTCATTCTTGAGATGTAGCTTAGTAGTAGAGTGTGTGGCATAGGTCTGTGGAGAGAAGGAAGAAAGGGAGAAAGGAAAGAAGAAAGGAAGAAAGGAAAGAAGGCAGGCCATTATATATATATATATATAAAATTATAAATAAAAATCGGACACTATTTTCTATCAATTACTTTGATATTAGCAGTATAATAATGACAGTAACTAACATTCCTTAGTATTTAGTACAAGTCAGATTTTACTCTATTTCATTTACTCCTTACAACAAAGCTTTATTAGCAGCAAACGCGTAAATGAGTAAATTGCAAATACAGAAGGGTTAAGTAACTGGCTTAAGACTGCATAGTGAGAAAATGGTAGAGCTGTATGGAATACTCACCGCGGTGCTGAATGGTCATAACCTTCCTTCCTCAAATTCTGGTGTGGAAACCTAACTTCCAACAAGATAGCTTTTGAAGGTGACCGTGTGATTAAGGTGGTGACCCCTAACCCCTGCCCATGGATGGTATTTCTGCCTTTATAAAGAAATGCAGAGAATCCTCAATTTTCACTCTAGAACTGCTTGTCAATTGGATCTGAATCATGTAGTTTCAACCACCCATTTAAAAAGACATAATAAAAATGTATTATTTTTGCCTTGCTTGCAGCCGACCTGGCTGACCCGAATTCTATTCCTCCACCCCTCTCGGAGAGCCCAGCAAGCTACCAAGAGTATCCTGCCCGCACGGCAAAGCCTAGCAAGCTTCAATATGCCAAACACAGTAACAACAAGACTCACAATAGAGACGTTACTGGGCCTGTTTGAGCAAATCGATGAACAAGGGGAGGACAGTGCTACAGTGATATTTTTACTGAATGAAACAGGAAATTGCAGAAGTTTTCCATCCAACCTGAGATAAGGAAACTGTTCTCTCCATGAGGTTCTTGGTCCTTTTGAAGCCTGGGTCACTTTCCGCGAGGACATTCATGGTTTTCTTGCCAATGAATTCCAGAGCATCAAGACCGCCCGTTAAGACGCTTTTGCCCTGCAGAGGAGACCACTGCATGAGATTCGGGTACCCCTATGATTTTCCACTGGAGCAGCAAGTTCTAGACAGCAGGATTTCAAGTATGGAAATTAACATAGACTCAGATTTTCCTCATCAGAGGACACTGGATTCCATGCCCCCCCCCCCCCACCTTAAAAGAGCATTTATCATGGAATTTCTAGGACCTAAAGTGTTATTTCCAAATGATGCTTAGGAAAACCCAAAGAATATCAGTTTGTATGCGGTAGGGCGCTTGTTTGCCAAGCCTGCCTGCACGGCAAAGCTTGGCAAGCTACCCGTGACATACTGGATATACCAAACACAGTAACAACAAATCTCACAAAAGAGACGTTACTGGGCCCGCTCAAGCAACTCGATGAACAACGGGAGGACAGTGTTTTGGACAGTGTTTTTTTTTTTAATTTTGGGCCACATGTGGCACTGTTCAGGGCTTACTGTGCTGAGGAATTACTCCTGCTGATGCTCAAGGGACCATATGTGGTGCTAGGGATTGAATCCAGGTCAGCCACAAGCAAGGCAAATACACTAACCACTGTACTATTGCTCTGGTCCCTGAAAAAAAAATTCTTAACCCAAATAACAAAATTATTTGCAATAGTCTATTCAAATGTCAAATATTCTTGCCAATTTAGGGAATTCTTTAATCAGATGTGTAGGTTCTGCAGACTATTTCAGAAGCTCTTGCATACTTTCAGAAACTAGTAAAAGCCTCCTATAATAAATATGTTCACAAAACAAGACAGGTTAAGTTCCATAAACTACTGACTTTAGGCACTGTTCTAATATACAGCTACCCCTCTGCAAATTCCTTGTCAACTATTATTTTCCTTTTAAAAAAGAAGATTCAAGCAATCAAGACTTACATAAGTTGTTCATATAAACAGAATTGCTGATTCTTTGACGCTTCTCTTGTACACACACTGCAACCACACAAATGCATAGATCTTTCCCTTCCAACTTATGGAATTCACAGATATTATATTTTATTACCATATTTTTGTCTCTATGCATCTTCCAATCTTTGTAATGGGCACTTCAACAGCCATTTTGGAGTTCACTGAATTAATCTGCTTCATTAGTTACTGTCACGTCAAACAGTCATACTTCTCTAGAGACTATTAAGCACATCTTTTATTATTGTTATTGCTATTATTTGTGGGTTTTTTTGCCACACCCGGAAGCACTCTGGGCTAACTCCTGACTCTGTGGTCAAGGATCACTCCTGGCAGGGTTCAGCACATCATATAGGGTGTCAGGGACTGAACTCTGATTGGCTGCATGGAAGGTAATCACCCTATCAGTGGTCTATCTCTTTAGCTATATATGTTATATTTAAGCAATTTTAATTTTATAATTTTTAGTAGTGATAGCAGGGCTGGAGTGATAGCACAGCGGGTAGGGCGCTTGCCTTGCGCGCAGCCAACCTGGCCAAGCCAGGTTCGATTCCTCCGCTCCTCTCAGAAAGCCCAGCAAGCTACCGAGAGTATCTCGCCTGCACGGCAAAGCCTGGCAAGCTGCCCGTAATGTATTCAATATGCCACACACAGTAACCACAAGTCTCAAAATGGAGATGTTACTGGGCCCGCTCGAGCAAATTGATGGACAACGGGAGGACAGTGTGTTCAATATAATATATATTATATTTAAGCAATTTTATTTTAAGTCCAGTGGTCTGCAAAACTGTTATTGGTAGATTTTCACACATAAAACATTCCAGCACTACACTCTCCACCAGAGTGTCCACTAGTGTCCACTTCCGTTCACTACTATCCAAATGCAGGCCTCCCCCACCCCCATTCCTCCTATGGTTATCAACACATTATAATTCTGGAATGACTTTGTTACTAATCAAGCTGAAGGTTAAGGGACATAGATCATCTTAGAGCTGGGTCAAAGGGCTGTGCTGGCTCTAAGCTCCTTCTCCCTTCCCCAACCCAAGACCTGCTCTGTCTCAGCCGAAAAGCACATCTCTCTCTCTCTCTCTCTCTCTCTCTCTCTCTCTCTCTCTCTCTTTCTCTCTCTCTCAGACTGAAAAATGGTCCTCTTCAGCAGTGGCTCTCTTTCCAGCATAAAAAATGTAATTCATTGTATTAAAACCCCTTATTATTTTGGTTTCAAGGTCACGCCTACTTTACAGGAGAAAGATCATCATCCAAAGTTATGAGCGTGGCCATGTTTTCTCTGATGCATCTAGGTCACCAGATAAACAGAGTTATGGAAAGAAGGTGTTGGGAAGGCAAGGGAAGCAGCTTGTGGCTTACTGTGTTCTGGACTGCATTGGTGATGGCTGAGAACACGCCCCGAGACCCGGATGAAGGGGATGTGGGGGGGCTTTCCGGACTCTGAGCTGGCGCTGCCTCTGCTGCAACACAGATAAACTGCCCGTTAGACCTCATTTAGCTGCTGTGAATTTCAAAACTGAATTGTGCATACGACGTACTAAAGACATCCAAATTCAAATACATATTCCAAACCCAGGTGCACCCCCTGGGTCTTACCTAATCACATCACTTACTTTGAGGAACGTCATGCTCAGCATCAGGTTGAGTCCCATCAGAGGAGCCAGAAGGGACAGTATGGACCCGCAGGGTGGCCCCTGCCTTTTCCTTGACTGCTGACAATCCATGACCTGGCAGGAAATACAAATATATTACATAGATAACAACAATACAGCTCCCCCATCCCCCTCCTGCCTCCCTCCAGGCCTGCAAATACCAGCCTCTGGTGATTTTGTTTTTCACACAGATTTCTGTCTTTGTTTGGGGCCCACACCTCTTTAGGGGTCACTGCAGGTGGTGTGCAAGGGTGTGAAGGAGACAGTGCAGTGGCAGGGATTGAACCTGTGACTCTTAAATGCAAAGCATGTACCTAGCCTTTTAAGTTATCCTCCAGGCCCCTGCAAATTCCAGCCTCACCGTCAGGCCTAGTGTAAGTTGTAGATGTGTTGGAAAGAAAAGTGCAGTGGGGGGCAAGAGGTCCACAGTCCTTCAGATGAGGCTCTTGTTGGTGCTGGGTTTCCCTGCCGCCCGTGCAGATATCCCTAACCTCCCACGGATGTGACAGCTCATGGGTGTGTGTACAGGGAGGTTTGTAAGGATCCCCTAGGCTTTGATATTCCCTTTGCTTCTCCTACTTTCTGACACCTGGGATTCCCAGCCCAAGGCAATCATCACCTAGGAATAGCTTCCTCATTTTCTTTTCTTTTTTTTTTTCCCTAAGCAACTCAAGGCAGGTATATATTATTTTCTTTTCTCATTCCTTGCAGGCCGGACCCATGGCAGATGCAACATGCTCTTTCAAAGGACTCAGCACTTCTTTAGTATGGAGATTGCAGGGTCTGGAGTGAAGCTGTTAAACTCAATAGCACAGCGGGTAGGGCATTTGCCTTGCACGGGCCAACCAGGGTTCTATTCCCAGCATCCCAAATGGTCCCCTGAGCACAGCCAAGAGTAATTCCTGAGGGCAGAGCCAGGAGTAACCCCTGTGCATTGCTAGGTATGGCCCAAAAAGTAAAAATAAAATAAAATAAGCTCAAAGGCTAGTAGGAAAATCAGCTGAGAGCAGGAAGGTTGAGGGTTAGTTTTCGCAGGCAGTCATAGAGACTGCACCAGCTAAACAGTGGTCGGCAGGAAGGGCAGTTGGCTTACTCCATCTGGGGAGGCACAGTCTATAAGCACAGTACCAGCTTCCTATCTCGACCTTCTCTCCACAAGCATCCTGTACTTGATAGAGAAGTAGTCTTAAGTACTGTTTAATTTTTGTTTCTCCATGGAGGCCCTGAAAGATGGCAGGTATCCTACAAGCCAATTTCCAATGGTAAAGTAGGTAGATAGTCCACCCAGGAAAAGCCTTCTGGGACATCCACAGAGTACCTGAGAATTCAGCTCAGCACTGTGGGAAGTCAGTATCTACCTAAAGACAAAGGTATATCCCACTGATTAGGGCTATCTCTCCATAAGGCCATTAACTTCAGACACACAGAGCGAACTGCAGGCAGCTACTTGGGCTTCTGGCCAAAGGGATGGAGGTTCCCATGACCACATTTGCAGACCTCACGTGCCAGTCACAAGCCCCCATCAGACCAACTGGCTATACATCAGAGGTTTTCAGAGTCTCAGATTTGATTGATTTGCTAGTGGCTCACAGAACTTCTTAAGAAACTCATTTGGTCCCTACACTGGTAACTTATTCCATCAGACACTAAGGGGTAGGAATCAACAGCCGAATGGAAGAGATGCCAAGGGCAAGGTATGGGTAAAGGTCCTGGTGTATCTGTCCACACCCATTTCAGACGTGACCTTCTCTCTAAATCCAATTCAGAAGCTCTCTAAAGCCCTTTCCTCTTAAAATTTTGTGGAGATGTCAATATCCAAGAGAGGTCAATGAACTCTTTGCTTCATTGACAACCCACCTCAACCTCCCACAAGGCCCACGCGTGGGTCTGGTAGTTACAACCCTCCAATCACTAGGCTAGTTCTCTGGACAATCCCCCGAAGTTATCTTCATTATCATAGCAGTAGGTCAAATACGTGTGTGTGTGTGTGTGTGTGTGTGTGTGTGTGTGTGTATACAGGGCTTTTTTAGAAGCTGTGAGCTAGGAACTATAGCTGAAGACCAAATATGTGTAAGAATGCCTTTTTTTTTCCGGTTATCTGAATGGCCGCATATAAGTGAAAATCTTATAAATTACAACATTTGTAGGCTCCTATGTCAAGTTCTAGTTTTTTCTTAGCATTCCTAAAATTGAATTTTTTTAAATCACTCATCTACTGAGGATCCTATGTGACTATTGGATTCTTGAAGGGAAAACATCATGGATTGTGAGCTTGATGGCAGTTCCCACATATTTAGCAATCTGGGATGAAAATTAAAGCATTCATTTGGGTGGTTGCTGGTTATTAATGCCCAAGCAGCAGCAATATTAATATGTGGGGTGGGGAAGCCCAAAGTCCCAGCAGGATCTGAGAGTCAAAAAGAACATCTAGTCAAAGAAAACATTTCAAATGATCGACTGTCCTGTTGAGTAAGAAAAATGGAGGAATCCCAAATCTAAGACAGCAGTATTCTGCCATTTAATTTATTATAACAATCTAAATCAGGGTACTGTTTTTTTACCCAACAGAGAACTAATTACATCGCATGGTATTCACCTTCATTATATATGATCTAAAAAATCCTGAAACTTTAGAAATGTTATGGATGTTGACAGTATTCATTACATGTAAAAATACATACGTATCATGAGCATATTCACCAGAAGTTCAAAGTCTTCACTGAGTTACTTGGAAAAAAGCTAACTGCTAAAACTAAAACTGGAGGACCAGATATAACACAGGGATTATGGCGCTTGTCTTGCATCCTGGTTAACACTGTTTCAAATCCTCTGGCACCCTAGATGGTCCCCAGAGAACCACTAAAGTTCACCCCTGAGCACATAGCCAGGAAAATCTCCTAAGCATCACTTGCTAGATGTGGTCCCAAAACTGAAAAACAAACACAAACTACTAAGGCTTGAATAAATGGGAATGTCCAATGATTTCTCAGTATTTCATAAAAACTAACTAGTTTTTCAGTAACCATGAAGGCACAGTCTATAAAAATATCAAGCTATTTACATACTGAATCTGAGTTCTCCGACATCTATCAAATGCATATATTTCCTAAGAGAAAATAATGTACAGCTAGATATGCATCTATACTTTTCATCTAGATTTTTTTGAGCTATAATCAAAGAACAGTTGTGCTTGAGGCGGCCGACTTGCACCATCTGCTCCACCTTCGTTGCTTTAGCCACATAAGTAAGATGATCCACATCCTCCGGAGATCATTCAGAGTTTATTGAATATCACTATAATCTCTTTCCCCTTCTTGACCCCTCATACATTATGACCTTATCTGTTTCCTCACAGGGGAAAGTGCTTTCCCATCTCAGAACAACAAATGATCACAGACTTGTTTACCTTCTCTGCCTCTAGAAAAGTCACTGTGCTTGTAGAGGGAAATACCTTTTTTAATATTCCATAAATGAGGGGTATCTTTTTAATACATAAGGCAATGATTTATTTCTAACACACAGGGCTATGGTTTTTCATAAAAAGCTAAGATTTTGACAATGTGCCACACCTTACGTTGAAGAAACTTCTTAAACCTTACTTAGTATGACATCTAGTGCCCAGAACAAGGAAGTCACAACACAGTCATTGCTATCTTTTCGCCAGAAGCAATTTATCCCCAGAGGTTTTGCAGGAAACTAGTAATTACAGAGTGAAAACAACTAATATGCAAAACACTAGAGGGTATAGTTAATGGATTATTTTCTCCACCTATATAAAAAAAAATCCCCAAGAGTCTTCAAAGAAATGAAACCCTCAAACCCATTCCCTTAGAACCAGTCTATTCTAAAAATGGGCTAATCATGAGCTTGGACCCTAACATGCCTCTGGCCAGCTTGGGCCAGCATAGCTTGAATGCTTTAGAATCCTCCCTCTTCTTACCAGGCAGCCATTCCAAGACACCAGATGCTACTATTTCTCTCTCCCTGGCTGGGCACTTGAGTGTGGGGTGGTTAGGCTCACTGAGGAGTGTGCTCAGCACTGGCTCACAATTTCACACTCACCCTGGTCACATCTTAAATATCATTGGGCTTTTTCTCTCTGGGGTGCCCTAACAGCACCAATAATGGGGGTTGGACTCATGAACATTGACCACAAAGGTCAAAACTTCGCTGACGAATGGTTACTTCACTTTATGGATAATGAAAGAGGTTTGTTGGTGGTACTTGGAAAAAAGCTAACTGCTAAAACTAAAACTGGAGGACCAGATATAACACAACCCACCTCTGACCAAATTATGTCCTAGGGGAGCAATAACAAACAGTTCTATGGGGCACCCTTGTATAACTGAGATGCTCGAGGCCTACTATATTTCAAGATCCCATATACTAATAGATCCTACAATAGAGCACCAGCAAACTCATAATAAGAATTCTTTTCCCTCCTTATGGCTTGAAGTTTTAAAAATATTTATTGGGGGTATTCTGATTTACAATACTGTTAATAGTAGTTCCATGCATACATCATTTCATGCAAAACACCATGCAATTTTTATTATTATAGCTTTGTCATTTAAAGTTGGGGAACACAACACTTTTCATCTTCTTTTAGTTTCTTAGTATTGCTTTAGCTATTTGGGAAGTTTTGTTGTTTCATATAAATTAGTAGGGTTTGTTCCGAGTCTTAAAAGAACATCTTTGAAATTTTAATAGGCATTACATTGAATATGTATAATGCTTTGGGTAGAAAGGTCATTTTAGCAATGTTAATTCCTCCAGTCCATGAGCAAGGAATATCTTTTTTTTATTATTATTTGTTGAATCGGAGCAGGAAATATCTTACTACTTCCTGGTCTCATCTTCTGTTTCTTTTAGCTGTGATTTATAATTTTCATGTATAAATATTTCCCCTCCTTTCTTCAGTTTATTTCTAGATATTTAATACTTTTGCGCACATTTTGAAAGAAGGTAACTTTTAAATTTCTTTTTCTTTGGGTTTGTTATTTACGTATAGATATGCCACAGATTTTTGTGTATTAATTTTGTAACCTGCTACCTTATGATATTGGCTTGTTAAT